AAAAAAAATGTAAAATGTAAAAGCCTGTGAATGTGTAGAGGACACGATTCTTGCTCTTGCTTTAGAAAGACAAGTATTTTTAGTTACATATATTATGTATATATAGAGGGGAGAGAAAGAGAGGGATATTTTAAGTAATCAAATGTTCAAATTAATAACTAAAAATAAACAAATAATGGTGTAAAATAATTTTTATTGCTGAATTTGTTACATCAAGAATTTGAAATCCCCCACGTAAATATATAAAAAGAGTAATGGATTCGAGGCAATCGGGTGAGGATTTATGTCTTGAAAGGAAGATATGTGTTTTAAATTTCCTCTTTGGCATCATATACTCAAAATAAATTGATGCATTGATACATGAGAATAGATATATCAACAGTTCAACACACATATACGTGAACATGTATAAAGTATTATAGAATTATCAAATCAGAGGATATATAGAATCTATAAAGATGTGAATAAAATAATAAGGCATCTCTATGTGGAGTCTCAATCTTTTTGCAAATACCCAAAAAAGGGTATGAAAAAGCTAATAGTTCTCAAACAGACCACTGGAACGTATGCATTGTTTATGTGTCTTTTCTCTTTCACTATACGCTACGTATACATATATAGACACAAGTACATGGATATACGTATAAATTGGAAGATTCCATGTGGTTGCTTAAACATAAATCAGAAATGGTATGTGTGTAGTTAGGATATATATGGTTCCACCACTCAAAAAGGAGATAAATCTAGTTCCCTTTAATAGATTAATGAATCCAAGCCAAAACAAATTGAAAAATAATAATGAGCAAAGGAAATATTTGGGAGCTTTCTGAAAGAAATTATGAACCGTTGGATTGAGACGATTATGATGTGTCAATGACAGTGGGAAAATTAAATGAAGGAACAGCTTTTGTTGTGTGACCTAATTATAATATATGTAAATTCAATATAAAAAAATGTAATGATAGGTTACTTTTGGTCAAAGGGCAGAGACTGCGTGAAAGAATGGGACCAATCAAAACCCAAACCGAAGACTTTAAAGAGGTTTGGTTTAAACAAAACCCAAACTTTAAACAAAACCCAAACCCAAATTCAGTGGGGTCTTTCGTCTCATTCTTCTGAGTTCTCTCTATAGTAAATGATTTCTAATAAATTTGTAAATTTATGTTCGAGAAGCAAGTGAACAAATGTTTTTGAGTTTGAAACTTCGATTGTAAGCTGGTGAAACTGGGATGATCACGTGGTGTAGTTAGATATATGATGAGGCAGATGAACAATTGAAGTAAATGTGGTTTAGTGTATTCACCTGATTAGTGATTACTACTTTATATAGTTGTCGCTAAATAACCAGATGGTTACTACTATAGTCTATAGTCGAAATGTGAATCAAAAACATAACGGATTGTGTTTTATTTTCTTTGTTAGGGATATGTGTTTTATTTGGGTTTACATTTACAAAGTAAGTCGGTAGCTATATGCCTATATCTAGTGGGGTAATTTACTTGTTCTTTTTTAGATTTTCTTGATGATGATAATGCATGGCTTGTTGCATACGATAAATATATTCAATTCATAAGAAGTAAAAAGTACGATTTATATTAACAAAAATTCTTAATGGGCCATCATCATAAGGAATGCTTATTGGTAAATCCAAAAAATAAATTAAAACAAGAAAAACAAATCTTTGTATGTAAACCAAAACATACGATACTAGTGGACCAACCTTGGGAAATGCTTATTGGTAATTCCAAAAGATTTTTGATGCCTAATGCTTGTAAGACTTTTGTCTCTTGTCATTACAACTGCCAATGCTATTTACGCATTGTATTTTTTATTCTTAAAGAGAACGGATACTTTAAATGTTTATAATGACTATTACATTCACCAAAATATATGTATATCATACATCATCTAGTCCATTCATCAAATCTTTCTGATAAATCTAACGATTAGCGTCTTTAAAGTATAAAAGTAATAGTAAAACCCTTATAGATACAACAATCCCGAAGTATAAAAGTAAAAAGATTCCTCAAAGTTGGTAGTTATTTCTTCAAACGTGAGGTTAGATCTGTCGCCCCAACTTTGAGTGCAATAAAAATGATATCAAAAACACCTAGGAACATCAGGTTCTTCTTGAGCTTCTTTCGTTGAAGCTTGGACTTGCTCTTGTAATATAAACCCAAGAAAAAAGCAAGAAACAAGGAAGTAGCCACTGTCGATCCAAAGACTTTGGCCAACCTATTCGTTATTAGAATACCCCCTGCGAGGAGAGCTATTCCTCCCAAAAAGTAGAATAAGGCTGTGCATGATGCCTCTTTAAATGTTGCGCTGAGAGGTTTCCCCTTTGTCACTGATGTATTCACAGATGACCCAAAAGCAGAAAATACTGCAGACCCAAAATCAATGAACGCTACGCCAATTTCCTTATTCGACATTGTAGTTTTGAGATCGAAATAGGTAGGCACGGTTATGGTTCCACCAATAAAACTGTTCAACATGCTTCTGAAAAAGTCTGTATCTGTATACAAGAAAACAAACACAAAAAAATTATAAAAGGAGAGAGAGAAAAGAGAATGAGAAAGAAGAAAACCCTAGGTAGGTATTACCTTCAGACTGTGATTTCAAAAGATCACTACTTCCCTCGTCAAGGACCTATCAAGATATACATGTATGATATAAGCAAAACCCTAATTTAGTGAAAATAAAAAATTACTTTAGGTCAAAAAGGGTTACTAACCTGGTTTTTGTAGCCAAGAAGAATATACACGAGATTCTCAAAATATAGCGTGGCCTGATGTTCATTCAGCATCTCCAAGATGCTATCTACAATAGATGTTCTCAGCGGGTAACTCTCTATAAGTATCTTTTGAAGTTCAGCCGTCAGTTCCGTCGTCGTCGTTTCAATGACTTTTGTGATTTCATTCTCTTCTTGTTCTTCAGAACGATTACGACGGCTGGAGATCCAGTTAGAGAGGGTTTTTGCAACGTAATCTTTCTGAAGACATCTCATCTTAGTTAATAAAGCACACACGGTAATATCAATCCTACACTCGATCGTTTCCAACCTTTTTCTTGACTGGTCGGATGGTGGATCCTTCCAAGCGTTTACAAACATAGCCGAACGTTCCAGTTCAAGCGAAACATAAGACATATCTCCTTGAGTCGCTGGATACATTAAAGATTTCAGTACGTTGGTAAAGATTATGGGATGAATGTCCCCAAGAAAGAGAAAGGGAGACTCGAGCGAGCTGTGCCACGAAGTGGAGAGAAGTTTGATGATCGTATCATGATCCACATGGCGCTCTAGCTCCTGATATAAGGAGTTTATGTGCTCGTGCAAGCGTGTCACCAGCTCTTCGAGTTGATCGGGGGGATTATTGGATTTGATCGATTGTTTGATATCCTTTTGATGAACTTTCTTGAGAGTATCATACCATGCTGAATAAGTATCTTGTAATCTGATGAACCCATCAGGTTCCTTGCGAGGGAAGAAGGATCTCACGTAATCCATAACAAAACGAAGAAATATCTAGGGTTACGTTCTTGAGAAGGTGTTCGTTTTGATTTGGAAGGAACGATCGCTTTGTTATGAAATTTCTGTTAACTAACCAAGTATTAAACACCACCAATTTATAGAGCTCGTCAGCTCGAGCTTTCCTATTTGCATTAAGAATAGGAAATGAGTTAATTACTGAATCAGACCCGGTTTATATGAGCTACCTCAAACCGGAACCGACCCGGAAATTCACTACGTACGTGCATGCAAGATAATAAAATCTACTTTTATAAAATCATTAACATGTTTTATTTAATAAATCGAAAAATAATCTTTTAATTCCAATATCGACAGATTCAACACTCACTAACTAAAATACTATTTCTCTTGTAGCTAAAAATGAGTTTATAGGTTAGTTCGATGTTCTAGTTAGTGATATATGGCATGGTATAAGATTGTGTAATAATACATCAGCCGTTTGATGCCATCATGATGATTATCTTCTCCATTACTTCCATGATCAACCACCAAGACCAGAAGAAGTGGTTTAATGTTGGATGGGTTTTCGCCGGAAGAAGTGGAATAGGAGGAACTTGGAGAGTTAGAGGAATTAATTAAGACCAAATTAAGATGGTATTCTTGTTCCGGTATCCCCACCGACCAGAATAGTCCTTAGAGTGCAACGGCGACGACAAGTCTCGGAGAAGTAACGACCTTAGGATGGTCGTGAGGTGGACGTAGTCAGTGCCTCCTCTTCCACCGTCCATCAGAGGTTTGTGGTCTATACAGGATATAGTGCTGCAAGCAGCTAGTACTGTGTCCTGATGACTAGCTTCCTAACATTACAATTTACAGCTAGAACCATATTAAAATGTGGAATTGTTAGACAACTTTTGTTTGTCTAACAATGCATTAATCTAAATTGCTTGAATCCTAGTTTTTGCTTTTTTATTGAACTTACATGGGACAAAACGTACAATTTTTATTTTTTTTTAATCAAAAGAGAGACAATAATCCACATTTTAAATGACAGAACACAATTTCAATTCTTAAGTAGTACGTGTTAAACACAGACAGATCTTCCATTTTTATTGATTGACATTTATCTTTACAATTAACAATATATTGGGCCATTACTGCATTTGACTCCTTCACCAATTTACTCTAGATTTTTTTTTGGAATCTCAACGGCTCATAGAGGGAAGCAAGAATAGTTTAACGGTTACGATAAAGCGAGCCTCCTAGGAAGTTTCCGACCAAGATTTTGCTCTTATAACATAGTTAAAAAGTTTATGATTTAATCTGAACATAAAATTTGACACTGCAAGATGAAACAGAAAAAAAAAAAAAAATCGATGCTTTGATTTTTGTATATGATCCCACTTAAAATCATTCCAATT